ATGGTTCCGCTTCTTTTGCCGTACCAGCTTCTTTTTCGGATCCACAGCGAGTTTATGTACTGCCAGATCAGGACTAACGCCTGGCATTTCATGGACTTCAAATGCAAAGATGTCCTTGTATTCTTTCAACAGGTTGTGAAAGTCGTCACCAAGGTTTCTCAGAGCAGTCGTCCCAACTTTGACTGTTCGGTCAGGACGTGAGTCGTCTAATATCAGGTCCGCATGCTCACCAGCCGGCTGAGGGCGGAACTCATCCGGCCGCTCCTCTGCCAGTGATTGCTATTTTCTTGCTTTTCTTGCGGACTCTGTCTGGGACGCCTTTCTCTTTTTATCGCCTGTTTCTTGAACAGGCGCACTCTCCTTGACATTGTCAAGGTCTGTTTTTTCTCCACTTGACCCAGTGGCCATAACAGTGGGCTTGACATCCGAGAGATAGCACTCTCGGGCCATCCTCTGATCTCCCCTTAAGGAGCCGACTGTTCCATTATCCCTCTCAAACTTAAGCAGCATAAGAGACGGGATTATAACAGCCTTGGAATTATTCAGGGTTGGTCGACCCAGAATCATGTTGTAGGCCGAGAGTTCCTCTACTACTAGGAACCGGACTACCATGTGTCGTCCTTCCCCTTTCTCCCCCAGGCGAATGGGTAGATCTACTCGTCCCAGTGGGTGGACGACTCCTCCTCCAAACCCTATTAAAGGGTGGGAGGCCGGATGTATGCAGTCCGTCTGATATTTCAGTTTTGACAGACATTTACTGCTGATGAGATCTGAGGAGCTCCCGGTATCTATGAGGATTCGGCCAACTCTCTGGTTGGCCACTTTACATTCAATAACGAGAGGGTCGTCATGCGGCCCCGTTATTCCTCCTAGATCCTCTTCAGTGATGACAATCTCAGGAAATGTATATTTGGACGGCCGTTCTTGGTGAACGGAATTTACATCTAACCGCCTTATATTATCTTTGTTGCCCCTAATAGTGGGGCCGCCTCCTGAGAAGCCGCCTGCAATGGTGTAGACGACTGCATCATCTGTATCGGAACTGTCGGCCTGTTGATTCTTTTTGGCCGACTGCTTTTTTGAGGAAGTGTTCCCCGTAGATTTCTTGACATAAGTGTCAAGATCACCTTGATCAGCCAAGCGGTCTAGGTACCGCATGAGACTGATGCAGTCATTGGTGTGATGACCAACGTCATCATGATAAGCACAGATTTTGTCTTGGTTCCGGTTGCTTGCAGAACCCTTCATGGGGAGCGGCTTCTCAATTGAGAACCGTCCCTTTATTTCTTTTAGGATAAACTGGTTATCCTTGTTAAACACATACTTTGGGGAGTATGGTTTGAATTCTTTTTTCTTTTTCTGAGTCGGCTGTTTAGAGGAGTCAGCCGCCCAGACCTCTTTTCTTTTCTCATCTTTGTTGGACGATTGTTTCTGTCGTCCCTCTCTTTTGTCGAACCTCTTCCCGTCCGACTGTTTTATCGTACACAGATCAGTCGCCTGTATATAGGCTTCTGCTTCAATCAAGGCCTCTTGAAGAGTCGCCACCCTTTTTCGAACTAAATCAAATTTGAAGGTAGACCCGTCTTTGAGACCTCTAAAAAAGTCAGTATAAGCTACCTCATCCGGTAACCCTTGAATCTGTATTCTCATCAGGTTGAACCGCCTGATGTAAGAACGAAGCCCCTCCTTCTCGCCCTGCTGAATTGTTCCCAAATCAAGGGTCGTTTTCTTCGCAGGGATGTTCATAGCGAAGTTGGAGGCAAATAAGTAAGCAAGCGTCCTGAAGCTGTTTACACAACCAGTCGGCAGGTTGCCGAACCATTGCTGTGCAATTCCCTTGAGAGTCGCTGGGAAACACTTGCACCAAGTGGGATCATCCAACCCTTGAAGGTACATCAGGTTGGTGAATGCCATCAGATGGTCTTCTGGGTTAGTAGTGCCGTCATAGGCGCCTACTAGAACATTTTTTACTTTGGCCGGCTGAGCGGCTTCAGTAATTTCCTTGGAGAAGGCCGACGGCTGTTCACCAAGTCTAAGCAGCCGTAGCTGCCAGTCCATAGGTTGGACGTTTTTTGCTGCAGGTCCACCAAATGGAGGTGGCTGCATAAAATACTGTTGTTGCGGCACAAATGGTAAGTTTGGTACCGCCTGGGCACTATGAAAGCCGGACTGACGGGAGGTGCCGCCTGACTGACTCTCATGGTACGACTGAGTATGCCTCATCGAGGCATTTCGCAAACTGTCCTGAAAATTTGAAGTAGAAGCCGACTCTGATAATCGGTCACTCTTCTTCTGCTCTAGCAGGAGCCGAGCATCTGTGAACGTTTGCTTTGACCCGTCCGCCTGAATATGACGAACCGGTTTCCTATTTCCCGTAGGATAACGGAGTTTTGTGAAATCAAGAGCAGGTGGCTCCCGCTTCTTGGATTTAGGATGGGGAGTCGCCTCTCGCCCTTGAACTGGCTTCCTCTTCAGTGAAGTGGAAGGTTTCTTGGCCGACTGCTCTTTGACTGAAGCAGGCGGTTTTTTGTTGATCAACTCTTGAATCTCTCCCTTGAAGTCCCTCATGAAGGTCATGAGTTCGTTCCTTGTGATGGGAGCAGACCCATCAGTCGGCTGTTGCCGAGCAAGCGGTGCGCCTGCTGGCTCGCTTCCTGTTTGAAGATGCTCCCGTTCCGTCCTTTCGGTATGACGGGTACGTCGGGCCCTTAGGGTCCCGTCTGGAGCTGTATGAGTTTCAACTTCAAATTCACTTTCGGTATCATGGTCCGACTGAACTTGAGGGTCGTCTAGGGGACGCCTCTCTTCTGGAGTCGGTACAGACTTGGATGCCATCTCTGAAGTACTCTCCCCACAGACGGCGCCAAATGTTTCAGGGTTTTCTGATGTCCTGCGGGAGAGTTACAATTCCGAGACTGGAACCGGACGCCTGTACCTGCAAAATAACGGAGACTCCTGAGAGCTCCGCCTCCAACGGTCAAGTTAGTACCTGATTAAGGAGTAATTAATACGGAAATTAAAGTAATAAGATCTCTCTAGGTGAGAGTGCTTAGTGTTGGTAATCTGCGTCGTTAGCGAGATTAGCCGGTTGTTGGTGTTCCGTAATAACTCTGTTCTTCTCTGCTTGATTTCTTGATTTTTCGATTACCTCACTAATGAGGATTAATTAAGTATTTATAGCCTTGAGAAGCGTGCAACTCTCTAGGTTTAAGGTAAACCTAGGGCTGACTGGGCCTCTAGACTGGATTGGGCCTTGATGGCCGGTTTTCCCATTTGGCATGGGTGGACACGTGGCGTGCCTTGATTGGTCCGTAGAGGACGTATCTGTGACTGACACGTGGCAGGTTCCTATTGGCCTACGTGAAGGACACGTGGCGGAACCTGGTTGGTCCACTTGCCAGACGGTGATTGGTGGATAAAAATCCCCTAATCAGTTGGTGTCGTTGCTGTGGTGGTGGTGTTGTTGCGTCACCGGTTGTTGTGGTGGTTGAAGAAGACGAAGGGGACGAAGAAGAACAGAGAGGACGAAGAAGGATAAGGAATTGAAGGAGAAAGAGAAGGAAGGAGAAGAGAGAGAAAGAGAGGGCGGAATGGAGGAGTACAGAGATCAGAAGAGAAGAGAAGAGGAAAGAAGAGAGGAGAGAGAGAAAAAGAAGAGAGGCGGAGAGGAGAGGAGAGAGAAAGAGAAATGATAGGGGGAGGGGGGAACCGGGCTTTTTTAGGGTTTGTTTTTTTTAATTTGTAATTATTTAATTATATTCCGACAAAATATTTCGTCGAAACATTAATTTTCCGACTGAATATTCCGTCGGAAATTTCCGACGGATTTTATTTCCAACGGAACTTTAATGTTTCGACGGAATAATCTGTCGGAAATTTCCGACGGATTTTATTTCCATCAAAACATTAAATTTCCGACGGAATATTCCGTCAGAAAGCCCATAAATTCCGACGGATTTTTATTCCGTAGGAAATCCGTCGTAAATTTCTGACGGAATAAAAATCCGTCGGAATTTATGGGATTTCCGATGGAAAAACATGTCCTTCGAAATGGTCCGTCGGAATTCAGCCTATTTCTAGTAGTGCGCCCCTCCATTTTCGTCCACATCTCACTCCCCTCCATTTTCGTTCTCTTTTTCTTCTTCATTTACAGATCTAGAGTTTTGGTGTTCAAATTTTGGTAACCAAACGAATTATCGTGTTCGGATTTTCTTCAACAAACTTATTATGGTTATCATGGTCAAATTTGACCATAAAAATTCCAGATCTGGAGTTTTTACGGTCGAATTTGACCATATAAACCCAAAAAGGAAGAAATATTAGGAAAGGTATGTTTTTTTTTTCTGAAAATTTGGTTTGTTTAATTTTTATTTATTTTCCATTTTTATGGCTGTATTTCGTTTTTTATTTGAATTTTCATATTTACATTTCTTCAAATTTTGGTTGAATTTTTTTCTAATTTTTGTTTGAGTTTTTGTTCGAATTTCGTTGATTTTGGGTTTGATTTTGAGTTTTTGTTGGATTTGTTCGAATTTTCGTGAACCTTGTTCATATTTTGTTCGAATTTCATTGATCTTGGGTTTGATTTTGAGTTTTCATTGATGTTTGTTCGAATTTGTTGACTTTGGGTTTCAATTTAGTTTTCGTTGATTTTGTTCAAAATTTCGTGAACTTTGTTCATTTTTTTTTTTGTTTTCGTTAATTTTTTTTTTATTACATTATAATTTTGTTGATTTTTTTTATTTTCGTTATTTTGGGTTAAGGGTTTTTTGGGTGAGCAGTGGTGGTGGATAGAGGTTGTTAGGCAGTGGCGGATCCAGGATTTTCAATTCGGGGGGACAAAATGCTTAACTTACAAATAGCTTAACAAAAAATAAAAACAAAAAAAAAACTCAAACACACAAATTAGTTAATACTTAATATTAAAATTTCAAAATAAAAAACATACTTAGTCATACAATTCAAATGATGAAAAAAATTACATAAACATTACATTAAAATTACACTTTCATCCTTCCAGTCTTCATATTTTGGAAGCGATCAACAATTTTTTCATCGGAAACTCTTAGGAAGACATCCTTCTCAATAAAAGTGACCAAACAATCATTCATAAGTTGATCACCCATGCTATTTCGCAACTTATTTTTGACACATGTCATTGCGGAAAAGACTCTTTCAACACTTGCCGTGGCAACCGGAAGAATCAACATCAACTTGATAAGCAAATGAATAAGAGGAAAAGTCTTATGCTTATTAGTTTTAACAAGCATCATAGAAAGGGAGTTAAGGTCATTTAAACCTTGAAATCTATCATCATTTAGCATATTCTCCATGAATATATCAAGTTGACATTCAAGAGCCATCAAATCAAAGCTTGAAAATTCTTCGGGATAAAAAGAGGCAAGTTTAAGTACCTTATCTTTATCAAAGGATGAGAAGTTATCTTTAGGACTTAAACAAGCCATACATATTATTATCTCCATATTCCTCTCATTAAATCGATCATCAAGTTCTTGAAGATGCAAATCAATCACTCTTACAAAAATTCCAACCCGAAAATGATGTTCATTTGTTGCTTCTTCAACAAAACGTCTTGATCTTCCTTGAGGAACGTAAGGAGAATCCATAGTGGGAACAACAATACCATGTTTAGCACAAAATGAAGTTACCTTGTTTAAGAGAGTATCCCATCCTTGCTCCCTCATTTTTTGCAACACCAATTTTGTGTAAGTGACAAGTTCCATGGCATTTACAATATCTTGCTCCTTTCTTTGCAAAGCAACACACAAATCATTAGTGTAACCAAAAATAGTCAACATCAAGTGAGCAATAAAAACAAAGTCAAATGACTCTAACTGTCCTAAAACAATTTGAGCTTTGAACTTATCTTCCGATACACCATGCTTCCCAATGTGTACAAGTACCTTAACAATTGTAGGAAATAAGAGGATGATGTTTGAAATAGACTTGTAATAAGAACTCCAACGAGTATCCCCGGGCCTTTTCAAACCAAGTTCTTGATTTAAACCCGATCCACTCACAATATCCCCTACATCCAATGCTCGAGCAACTTCTTCAGCTTGATCTTGTCGAATCATTTCTCTTCTCTTGCAAGAAACTCCAACCACATTCAATAAATTTGCAAGTATCTCAAAAAGCCAACCACAACTATCATTCTTTTTATCAACGGCAACTAGTGTTAGTTGAAGTTGATGAGCAAAACAATGTACGTAGTAGGCACTTGGAGTATCATTCATAATCAAAGTCTTAAGACCATTTATTTCACCTTTCATGTTGCTAGCTCCATCGTACCCTTGCCCCCTTATCATAGATGGACTCAATGAATGTTCAACAAGTAAAGACATGATTGCATCTTTAAGAGTTAAAGCGGTAATATTACCAACATGAACAATGCCTAAAAATCGCTCCATTACCTTTCCACTATCTCTATTAACAAAGCGCAAAACAAGAGCTAGTTGTTCTTTTTGGGACACATCACTTGACTCATCGGCTAATATGGCAAAGTAATCATCACCAACTTCTTCTATTATGCACCTAGTTGTTTCTTTGGCACAACAATTAATAATGTCCTTTTGAATAGAAGGGGAAATCATTTGACAATTTTTAGGTGCTTTTTCAAGAGTATGTTGTCTTACTTCCTCAACCTTTTCTCCTAACCATTTCAAAAGCTCAAGGAAATTACCCCTATTATATGACTCCCCGCTTTCATCATGTCCACGAAATGTCAAACCTTGCCCCAAAAGAAACCTTAAACAAGTTAAAGATGCATTCAAGCGGATAAAATATTCACTTTTAATCACCTCACTTGCATTGTCAAACACATTCAAGATTGATTTTTTTTTCCATCTCTTAAATTCACATATTTCTCATAAGCAAGATTATGAGCACTTTTAATTCCACCAACATGCTTCTCAAATCTTTCCGGTTTATTCCATGCCCTAAACCCTCCATCAACAAATGCATCACCCCCCGAATAACTATCAACTTCATTCTTGAACAAGTAACATACAAAACAAAATGCAGCATCTTTTTCAATACTATACTCAAGCCAATCCCATTTCTTGAACCAATGAACACTAAAGCGACGTAAACCAGACACTTGTCTTTGAGGAAAGTCATGTGTTTTTGGTTGGCAAGTTTTTTTAAGAATATAACCCCTCCTAACTGCATTTCGTTCATTTGCGGGGTAATCCATTATGTTTATTCTTTTTCCCGGATCATGAGGAAGAAGTTCAACATCGTATACCAAATTTTCCTCCAATGGTACATTACAAGTACTTGAACCACCCATTTCCATATCATCTTCTTGACTTTGAGGGGGGCTTAATGAAGGGGAGTTATTTGACTCATTTTCATGGAGTTTCTTTCTTTTAGACAAGAATTGTCGAAGATCGGGTTGTTTTCTAGTAGCCTTGGATTTGTTTGAATTAGGTGAATCATTTGACATTTCCTAATTACATTAAAAAATATATATCAATTATTCAATTTCGGAATTTCCACAATTCACATCATTGCATAAATGCATACTATAAAACCTAACATTAAAATTGCAATTAAAATTAAAATTCAACAAATATTGCAATTAAATTAAAATAATTCAACAAAAATCTGGAAATTAGGGTTAACAATTGGTGAATTGGGGATTTCAAATTAACAAATTGGGAATTTCGAAATTCGAATTAGGGTTAGCAACTTAGCAAGACATACCATAAGTTTAGCAGCGACTCAGCGAGTGGTGAGGAACCCAGGGGCCAAGGCGGACAGGCGGTGGTCGGTGGAGCAGCGAGCCAGTGACGCCTGACGCACTCACGCACGCACCTGCAGCGAAGACTGAAGATGGAGCACAGCCGCACAGGAGCAGCGACGCACCACGCACGCACGAAGCCTCGACGGTCGCCGGTTGGTGGAATGGTGGAGCAGCGACGCAGTGGACTAGTGGAGTAGTGGTAATGGCGAATTGGAGTGAAGATTGAAATGGAGCTGCGATTTGTTTTGCTTTTTTTTTTTTTTTTTTTTAATTTTTTTTTTTAAATTGGGGGGACAGCTGTCCCCCCATGTCACTTAATTGGGTCCGCTAGTGTTTTTAGGGTGGGTGGTGGGAAGTGGCGGTGGGTGGAGTTGGTTTGGGTGGCAATGGTGGTGGGGCTGAGTGAAGTACAGGCAGTGGTTTGGGTGGGTGCGTTTTTTTTTTTGTTTTTTTAAAACTTTTAGGGATGGCCAAAAGCGGTCACTAAATTCCAAAATTGCGATCGCTGCTTAAACAGGTCGCAATTATTAATATTTGCGACCGTTTTCCATAGGTCGTTGAAAATAATAAAAACGGTCGCAAAAAATCTGCGACCGTCACCCAGTTGTAATAATTTCTTTTTGTGACCAGGTGAATAACGATCACTTGGTTATGACCGTTGACGATCGCAAATATTTTCAGCGATCATTTTTGCTATTTTCAGCGGTTGTTAGAGGCGGTCGCAAAAACCTAAATTTTTAGTAGTGTACCTTCCCCCCATTGTAACTATTACCCCCAAAATAAGGGTATTAGTTTCTTTATCTTCACCTCATACCACACCATCACTACATAATTTTCCTTACAATCACACCATCAATATCTCCTCCTTCCCTATTTTCACTTATATTTTGCTTCGTTTGACTATTATTATCCTAGTAATACATCTTCCCCAATCCAAGAATGCCCTTAGTAAAAAGTATGAACATTTAATAAACAATGAACATTCAATAATAAAATATGAACACATAAAAAAAATGAACATTTAGTATTTAAAAGTGAACATGTGTAAAAAGCAATGATTATATAGTATAATAAAAGTGAACATGATTATCATATAATCATAAAATTGATGGACCACGACCTTAAAAATGAACATTTGGTAAAAAAAAAAAAAAGTAAAAAAAAAATAAATAAAATAAAAATAAAAATTAGAGCACGTAAAAAAAATGATTATTCAGTAATAAAAAATGAACAAGTAAATAAATAAACTGTTGAATAATTTAGAGAATTGTAGATATTATCCATGTTTTTTTAATTAAGGTACTTAGGTTATGGTGTTGTATTTATTAATTAAACAAGAATATAAAGCAAATAACCTTGGTTTATTAGAGGAAAGAAGGACGGTAAGTCGCCGCCCGGCAGGGCCACCACCGCCCGTCCAGGCGCGAGAATGAGCAAGGGTTGCGTTGGTTTGCTGCCCAGTCCGGGCAAGTACCGCCCTATATTGCGCGAGAGCTTGCATCTTCAACGCATCACCACCGCCCGGTCGAGCCATCACCGCTCTGCAGGGCGCGCAAGCAAAGTTCAGATTTCTGGGTTTCAGGATTGTCGTCGCCCGGCAAGGCGTGAGAACACCCAAATTCTGATGGTCACTTTCGCCCGGTCGGGCTCTCGCCGCCCGGTAAGGCGCAGGTCAGGCCTGGCGGTTTTTTTCGTGAGTTTTATTTGGAAATTTGTTACATATATATTTGATTGTTCATATGATGAAAATGAATTCAAGAAAAAATTCAGTTTATTTTCTTTTCCTTGAAAACCTTTTGCAATTCCTATATATCATCATCATAATAATTTACCAAATTTTGCTTACATTAGATCACAAACATACTACACACTGTTGTGATTGTCGTCGTTGTATCTCCTAGTAATTTCGTGATACCCGGTGTGTAAATTAGGGTCGAAATATTACTTTGGGAAATGATTTTATTCACGCCTCGAAGTGTTAATTTGTCCAGTTTGTTGCGATTTTTGTGACCTGGTAATAAATTCCCCAACAATCCAAAGTAATAATTTCCTAAAAAGATGGCAACGCTGTAAGAATTGTCTTGCAACTTTCAAAATTTGGGCAAATTTGAAGGAGTAGTTTTACGAAGATGGCAAAAGTCATTGTAATTTTGGTGATATCTCTTGGAGTGGCATATGTACTCACACCCTTGAAGCTAATAGAGGAGGAAAACGAGACGTTGGAGACACTAGTGGGAGAACGGTTTGTACAGTACAATCGAAACGATGCAATTTGCGTTTGTTCATTTTGTGTTTATCCATGGCGAATTGGTTAGTATTTCTATATTATTCTCTTTCATTACATGATATAAATGATGAATGTGATGATTCATTGTTTGATTGTTTAACTCATGGTTATTTAGCATGGGTGATTTATCAATTATGTTTTGATTTGATGATACCTTATATAGAAAGTATTAACATGTATGTCATTATATTAATAGATATTTATTATTTTTTTTGGTATTACATATGCTAATGGTGTTTAATGGGATGACTATCGGTGACGATTAATGTGGAAATAGTTATGCTTTAATAAAGTATGTTATTAGTCTATGCATGGTAAAAGTCAATTGTAGTTATTAATGGGTCATGCGGTAATGAATAATGGCCACGGTAATTAGAATAAAGTGGAGGTGAATCAAATGTCTTGATTCAAGTGATGCCCATCTCGATAGGTTGTGAACAAAATAGTATGGATAGTATGGTATATACTATTGATAATATAATTTATTCAACTTTTGAAATTATTGTTTTTATTTTACAAGACAATGATTTTATTTATTTCATGGTGTTGTCTCGTGTAATAATTTCATGTAAAATCAATTGTATAAGTATATGGATATGAAACAAATTTGATGGCAATGAGGAGTTTGTCAAAATTTGTATATATGTTGTATTAAACCTCATGCATGAAACTGATTTTGGTTTATGATGAATAAATTAAATGAATTTATCTTTCGTGATGTCCATGCTTTAGAGGAAGAATTTAATTCTTAAATATCATGATGAAAGGATAGATATTTTGACATGATATTGGTTTATTTTGTTGGCTTGAATATGTCATATGATGTTACGGTGATGACAACTTAGTTATGACGTATTTGTTTATTTATTTTATTTCATTGGCGTTGTCATTTTATTGAGGTTCGTTTTATATTTAATTCTCTCATTTAATCCAATGTTGAAAAGAATAATCCTTTGCTTGATTTAGTGCATAGTGACTTGTGTGATTTTCACAACATAACTTCTTTAGGGAATAAGAAACATTTGTTGACATTTATTGATGATTTTTCAAGGTTTTGTTATGTTTATTTGTTATTCTTTAAAGATGAAGTCCTTGACAAATTTAAAATCTACAAAAGTGAAGTAAAATTGCAAACTAACGGAAAGATAAAAAGATTCAGAACCGATAAATAAAGGAGGTAAATACTATGACCCAAGTTATTTCCAATTTTTAGATTTAGTACATGAAACTACCGCGGCATATACACCACAACAAAATGGTGTAGCGGAAAGGTAGAACACTAGAAGAAATGGTTAATTCTATGTTGTCATATTCGGGTTTAAGTGATGGATTTTGGGGTGAAGCCGTTTTAACGGCTTGTTACGAGTTAAATCGTGTTCCCATGAAAGTGAAGGATGTTACCCCATATAAGCTATGGTATAAAAGGAAACCAAATTTGAGTCATCTCAAAGTTTGGGGTTGTAGGGCAATTGTAAAAGTGTCGGAACCTAAACGTAAAAATTTAGGTAAAAGAGGAGTTGAATGCATTTTTATAGGATATACGGAGCATAGCAAATCCT